ATGAATTGGAGAATGTGACCTTTTAGCCCCCAGTTGGCTAGTTGTTGGATGACCTCCGGCATCCAGGCCCGGTAGTACGCCTTTGAAATGTCCAACGTTGCTAACTCCACGTGCTGGTTATCTTTCATTGCGTCGTGGAGGGCCTGACCGAGCGTCCCGAAGTACGTATTAGTACCGTGCCCTGGACGGAACGCGTGTTGACGGTGGTCGAGAAGATTGTGTTCGTTCAGGAAGCCCATGAGTCGACGGTAATCATCCGTTCCATGATTTTGGGTGAATTAGTGGTTAGATAAGCGTATCATTCGGAATAATTTTTTTTTTGTGGAGCTGTGTCTCAAATTCAGGGTGGCCAGCATACCGGGAAATATCCGGGAATTTGAAAAGTAATCGGGAAAACCCTGGGAATTTGGCGAGACAACCGGAAAAAATAAATTAACCATACCAGAGGAACAAATTTTTACACCAGAGTTTCAGAATAAACCATTAAAACAGAGTGATCCTTTACCAAATGATGAATTGCTCTATTTGCTATAATGTTGTTCAGTAATATAGCAAATTGATTTTTGTTGTTTCAACTTCAGATGTAGAGTGCATAGCCCTTAAAAGAAAAAATTGAAGATGCTGAACTTTGGAAACAAAAATTTGTAAAAACCGAAACTGAATTATTCTTTTCAGGGGTTTTAATTTAATAAAATCCTGAATTAACTTGGAATTCTGCTCTGAATTATCTTGAAATTTTTCTAAAATAAACCAGAAAACAGTCCGCGTAATAATTACCGTTGATTTTTTTTTAATTTTCATGCTACCCCTTTTAAGAATTTAATTGGAATCCTTGAATTCCCTTGAGCCTATCCGGAGACTTTGATTCCTTTGAAAATCTGTTCAAACATCTTTCAAAATTTCATTTAGAAGCCCCTTGGAGTATTTTAAAGTATTTCTTTCTAATTATCAGCAAATTTTTTGCAATGAATTTTGTTGGAGTTCTGGTGATAAATCTTTCGCACTAGGGTTGAAATTATTGCCAGAACACTCTTAGAGCTCTGTTTCTTGTTGAATTCTGATCATAATTCTCTTGGAATACTTCTTAAAATTCATCTCTCTTTTTACTAAAGATCCTCATACAAATCTCCTCAGAAACACGTAGGAATTTTCCGCAAAGTTTTGTTTTCCACAAATCCTTTTTAAATCTTCTCAAATTACCTAACAATTTAATTTAGAACTTGCATTCTTCTCCCTTAGCTCAGTCGGTAAAGGCGCTGGGTTCAATTCCGGGTCCAGTCTAGGAATTTTTTGGGTTGGAAAATTTCTCGACTTCCCTGGGCATAGAAGTATGATTGGACTTGCCACACAAGGAAGCCCTGGTGGTCCATTGAGTTAAGAAACCTGCGCAACAGACTGCGTAAAGCACGTAAACGATTCTTCGCTAACAAAACCATTGAAAACCGAGAATCGCTTCACCTTGTGGAACTGTCCTACAAAGAGCTCGTAGCATCAAGCTACCATGAATACATGCAGAGGCTGCAATCGAATTTGAAACAAAACCCATCAATGTTCTGGAGGTTCGTGAAGCAACAAAGGGCAAGCAATCGTGTTCCGGACAATGTCAAGTACGGTGACGCTTTGGCCTGCTCTTCTGAAGAGGCAGCTAATCTTTTTTCGACCTTCTTTCAAAGTGTGTTTAATGCGGAGTCGCCCCAACCTCACCCGGGTTGTTTTCAAAATGTGCCATCCCATGATATCCACCTTCCTTTTTTCAATTTTTCTCGTGAGGAAGTGTTGAGAGCGTTAGCCAAACTAGATGCGTCGAAAGGAGCCGGAGTCGACGGTTTAACTCCAACACTGCTGAAGAATTGCGCCGAGTCTATAGTTAAACCTTTGACGATACTGTTCAATCGATCGTTAAATGAAAAAACATTCCCAGGTTTATGGAAAACTGCCAAAATGATTCCCATCCACAAATCGGGTAGCGTGCGGCACGTTGAAAATTACCGCGGGATCTCGATTCTCTGTTGCCTGGGAAAGCTCTTTGAATCCTTGGTCCACGAGGTCTTACTGTCTGCAGCAAAACCGATAATTTCGGAATACCAGCATGGATTCGTTCCCCATCGCTCTGCAACAACCAACTTATTATGCTACACCAACGTTTTGTTTCGTGAGATTGAAAGCCGGAATCAAGTGGACTCTGTATACATTGATTTTTCGAAAGCATTTGATACTGTTCCGCATAGCTATGCCGTGGAAAAGCTGAGACATATGGGTTTTCCCGATTGGATAGCCGACTGGCTAATGTCTTACCTGACTGGTAGGAAAGCATTCGTCCAGGTGAACTCAGCACGATCCAGGACCTTCTACATTCCATCTGGAGTTCCACAAGGGAGTGTGTTAGGTCCATTGATCTTTGTGCTCTTCATCAATGACTTGTGCCTGCAAATATCTTCTGGAAAGTTGTTTTTTGCCGACGACCTCAAAATCTTCAGAGTCATCAAGTCTGTTTTGGACTGTGTTGCTCTGCAGATTGACATCGATGCCCTTTCACGATGGTGCAAGGAAAATGGAATGTGCGTGAACATCAATAAGTGCAAGGTGATCACTTTTAGCCGTTGTTGGATTCCCATCAATCATCTTTACAATATTGACACTGCTCCGCTGGAACGTGTGCAGTCTATCCGTGATTTAGGAGTTATCATGGATTGTAAGCTTCGATTCAACGAACATATATCCACCGTTACTGCCAAAGCCTTCTCCGTTCTTGGGTTCATTCGCCGCAATGCATCTCAATTCACCGACGTGCACACATTAAAAGCCTTGTTCTGTGCTTTAGTGCGAAGTATCCTGGAATATGCTGCTCCCATTTGGGCACCGTACCATACATCTCAGGTGATCCGCATCGAACGTGTGCAGAAATCATTCATTCGCTTTGCTCTTCGGCACCTACCGTGGAATGATCCTGTCCATCTACCTGCATATCCAGAACGATGTCAACTAATTGATCTGGAACTGCTATCGGCAAGACGGCTGAAATTGCAGCGGCTGGTTATATTCGATATCGTCCAGAATAACGTCGACTGTTCGGATCTTCTCCTGCAAGTATCACTGAACGTTCCACAGCGTCAGCTGCGGTACTCAGCACTTATCGCAGTTCCCGCACATAGAACATGTTATGGTCATAACAACCCGCTCAGTTCTTGCCTCAGAGCTTTCAACAATGTTAGTGATTTGTTTGATTTTAATGTGTCCAAAAATTGTTTTAAAAATAGGATTAAAAACATAGCATAAGTTAAACTAGTCTGTACGACACTGTCGAAGACGAAGAACAAATAAACAAACAAATAAACAAAACAATTATACCAATGCAAAAATGGTACAGGCATCGAAAGCTTTCAATTAATAACTGTGGAAGTGCATCTAGAACACTAAGTTGAGAGCACGCAATAAGCTAATATGCGATATGCAATAAGCTTGAAATGCGAAGAAGAAGAAGATTCTTCTCCGAATTCATCGAACAATTTCTAAGGATTTCATGTCAGAATAATTCTGGAATTCTGCTCAGAACTTCTCCTTCGAAAACGGTGTGGGAATCCTGCTCAATATTTGTTTGAAATCAACACTTTGAATTCTTTTAAATTTCACTAAAAACTCCAGGGTTTGTCCACTAGATTCTATAGATGGTTCTGTAATTTGTAAAAACCCTTAAAATGCTTCCAAGTCTCAGAGCGTGACAATTATGACTCCACGACTCATAAGTATGATATTTTTTTCAAATCTGTGATCTTGAAAATTTTTCAAAATCTCACAATTTATTTTTTTTTTTCTCCAAATCTTGCATCACAAAGATTCTTATTAATAACAAATTTTGAAGAAAAAAAGTTCTAGTTTCAGACTCTACACAAATTTTAAAGCCTCAGAATGTTGGGAATCTTCTTAAATCACATTTGTCCCCTTCAGTAAATTCCTTTCAGCACATTCTTAAAAATGCGTTCAATTTCGTTTTTTGTTGAATATTAACAACCGGGAATTGTTTAAGATTTGAACCGGGAAAAAACCGGGAATTTCAAAACGAAAATTCACTGGCCACCCTGCAAATTGTGCTCAAGTGATTAAAGACAAGTGTTTCATATGCAGTGGTGTCGCGTAAACTCACTTTTTACCTGAGCTCAGACTTTCAAAACCGGATTTAATGCCATATTCATACTCTAATCGTTTGAAAAAAATAAACACCTAATCTTCTAGTTTACTCGATATCTAACCATTGCAAGCAATATTTTGATAATTGTTTATCTTTGGAGGGTTTGTGCACAGGTAGAAGGTTGTAGAAGAACTGGGTGAATTTCTGCCCCTGGCGTAAGAACTTGTCGGCAGGGTTGAAAAAGTGCAGGAATGGGGGGGAGGGTGTCTTCGGTCCATACACACTTCCATTTAATTTTAATACTGAGGAAATGGCTAATGTCTCACAACGACGTCACCTTGAAATGCCAGTTTAGAGGTTTGATGATTTCTTTGCATTCGTTCTCGCCGTGGCAAACAATGACTACATTAAACATCAAATACGACAAATCTAGATAGAGCTGGAATTAGGGCGTTACAGCTTTTGTAAACAATGACTTCTCTCGATGATTTCTAAGAATTCAAGGTACGTCCACGCAAACCAACCTAACCATCGGATAAGGGAAGTCTTTCCCTACCCGATGAGGATGCTGGTTTGAGCCTTGAATTTCTAGAAATAATCAAAATAAGTCCTAATTTCGTCCTAATTCCAGCTCAATCTTGAAATGTTTACCTTATGACATTCAGAACTTCGACGGGCTTCAAACCGGAAGCGGCAACCCGGGCCGAGGAAATCTTTCGGGCTGGAAGTTTTCTCGACTTTTCTGAGCATAGAGCATTATTGTGCTTGCCAGACAATATACAACTAGAAACATCTACCTTATTCGAGGAAACCTATAGTGCACTCATTTTTCGTAACCTTTTATCTAACGCATGTTATTTCTCCAAATTTCCAGAACCATCCCGGAGTCACAAGAAGAAAAAGAGCAAAGATAAAGACCGAGATCGCGACAAGGTAAGACCCTATCCAACATTCGATCTGCAAAAATTCGCTAAACCCCTCATTATCTACATTCCCCCACAGGAGCACAAGAAACGTCGCCACTCGAGCGACCACAGCGCCACCGTCGGTGGCACCGGTAGCAGCTCGGGCATCCACTCTACCAGCAGCTCCACCACCTCAAAGGACAAATCATCCAGCAATTCGTCAATCCAAAACAAGGAAAACCAACACCATCTGCAACACAAATCAGACAAACCGGAAAAAGTCACCCCCGCCCCGGTTGACTTCCCGGTCCAAATTAAACAGGAACTGTCGATTGAGATCAATTCCACCCAGCTACTGAACAGTGGCGCCGGTGGAGTTTCGGCACCGGCAGTCGCTGTTGCAGCTGCCGTAGCAGCCGGTACGCCAATTTCCCCCATAAATCTACTGCTGAATTTGGAACGAAGTAACAGTGAAAACAGCACGATCAAGAAACAGGACGTGTTCATCAAGAAGGAGTACAAGCCACTGAAACCGGAGAAATCTCGGGACGATGTCTCGAGGGCGTTGAACTTTAGCGAAGGCAATGGTCCCGTCTGCACGAGCGCCAGCGCTAGCAGCATCAGTAGTAGCAGCAGCAGCACCAGCAGTAACGGCAATAGCACTAGTGCCACCGGCAGTACAACTAACTTAAATAGTAATAAGAATACTAATATTTTGATAAAAATTGAGTCGCCCAAGAATCTGGACGACAAATCGGTCGTCGTGAAGAAGGAAATTATAACTGACGACGGAGCAGCGACTCCGGAGAAGCTGGTCAACGGAGGTACGAATGTTGTTACTCCGACGGCGATTCTCTCAAGTAGTAGTATCTCAACGATATCAACGACGACGGTACCTATCAAACAGGAACCTCCGCTGGAGAAGAGTACCTCCCATGAGCACCATGTTCACAAATCTTCGTCCCAGCTTGGAAGCAGCGTCAGCAGCACTAAGCTCTCCAGTTCATCCTCGTCCACTTCGGTGCACAAGAGTAGTAGTAGTAGCAGTAGCAGGGAGTGCTCACGCTGCTACAAACGATCCAAGATCAAGCGAGCTAATATCGGGATTCAGTGCAAACGGGAAAAGGTGGAATATCCATTGAGTAGTGTCGTGCCGGTGGAACCATGCACGAGGATAGGTACGATTAGTCGGGACATGAACTGCAACCGAAAGGGGCTCGATCATCTCAAGTATGGCCGGTTCATGCGGATAGAGGTGCACCCGAATGGAGGCGCCTCGGTGGTGCACATGTACCAGGACGAGATCAGTGTCCTGTCGGAGACCGAGATGGAGGAACTGGTGAACGAGTTCTTCGATGTTTGCTTCAACGAGGACGAGGAGGGGTTTGCCGACCACGTGATGGGGATCGTGCACAATGCGGCCGACTATCTGCCGGATCTGTTGGAACACATGGCTGAGAACTATGCCAATCTGACGGTGAAGGCGGGTGTTCTTGGTCGGAATTCCGACATCGAAACGTGCACGATGTATCAGTACAATGACCAGGTGGGTTTGAATGGGAATATTTGAGTGGTAGTGTGATTGGAGATTTGAATGGGATTTTTCCCTTTTGTAGGTTGTCAAAAACTACTCACACGGAACTGTCCGGTACGGTCCGCTACACCAAATCAGTCTGGTGGGAAAGGTTCACGAAGAAGTCGGAGGCTATTTCCCCGATCTGTTGAAACGTCTCGAACAGAACCCATTCCTCAAAAAGGTACAGGTTTAAAACATGGTTGGTTTGGTTGGAGTTTAGAAAATAAAGATGGATTCTGTTTTGCAGGCTATGCCATGGGGAGAGTTGTCAATTGTACAGATGGATCCGCGATTGTCGAACGATGGTCCGATTTTGTGGATCCGGCCCGGCGAACAGCTGGTGCCAACGGCCGAAATCAACAAGACGCCTCTCAAGCGGCAAAGGTAAGTGCAATAGTGAATGCCCCCCTCATAATTTCTGGCTAATTTATGCGGGAATTTGTCGAACTCTATTTGTAAAAGAAAACACCCAGAAACCCGCTAAACTTTTCTTGTCCAGTTGTCCAGTTGGGAATCGTGTACAATTATTATTATGAATACCTAGCGTCATCTCCAATTGCTGGGATCTTGACAATAGAAAGGTTATGTTTTTTTTTTGTTCAACAGTCTTGATCACGAATTATCTTCGGATACATCATTCCATGCACGAAACTAAGTGAAAATTATTTAAAAGCATCATAGATCGTTGCACTTTTGTCACAAAGTTTCTAGATAGTTAATATTAGCAAGTTGTTTCAGAAATTTTAAGAGTTTTTTCAGTCTCGAGAGAATGGAATTCAATGAAAAACTCATCTATGTTTTGCGCTCTTATTGAGTTCCTGAACCGAAATGTAATTATGCATTTCATAACTAAAGCCCGTAACATTGGTAGATCACCTTTTTGTGTTACGTTACATGATGTAAGATCTACCACCGATTCCTAGTCCTGAGTACTTCAAACTATGGGAACAGGATTTTTCAGTAATCAAAGGAACGCATCTTAGTCCTTGTTATTTTTTATACCTTGTTAATAGTGATAAGTCGTCGGGATGATCTTGAAACAAGGTAAAAATGAGTTAGTTAGTCTTCATCTATGTGATTCCTAATCTTCTATTCGTTGTTCCCTAGTTTGAAGTGGTTAAGGCTAGGGTTCTGATGCATGGTCATTATCGGTGTCATTGTTTAATTTTGTTGCTAAGGAATCCAATTTTAACTGATAAAAGGGTGCACCTTTGGAGGGTTCTCTCACTATTCGAAGGGTATAAAGAATAGATTCCTTGCGATGAAGGGAACAATGACAACTTTATCAAAACCGAATACTTCATCATTTCTGAATAGTGATGGAGTAATACGACATGCACTAAACTAAGGACACGGGATATAGGGTTTTTGGTCTAATTTCCATCCTACTAAGCACAACCCACGCTTTACCTCTCTATCTTGAACGGGTTTTAACTAAAAATGAAATATTTCTATCAAAGATGACTTCTAAATGTATTCTCCTTCCCATATGTACCGTTGAACTTGATAAACAGCCACACATTGTTGAGATAATGTTAAAAATCTAATACTGCTTCTTGATTCCAAATTCGTCCTACGGGTTTCAATTCCGTCCAAACGCATTGAAACGCCATTGGATTTTCTTCGTCCTACCGGATGAAGGTAGAAAAAGCGAGTTCGCTAGGAGCGCTTCTTTTGTTTTGAGAACAATGAGTGTAAATATTCACATAATACCGAAGACAACATATCAAGAAGACTGGCAACTCTACCATTTTCTCATACGACCGCTATGAGACCGGCACAATCGCGTCATCTCAAAAAGATCAAAGATTACAACCTCAGAAGAATGGTTTGTATATTTGCTCATTTATCTATGCGTTATTTCCACCTTCACTCGAGCGCAGCGCTAATGTATCTGTCGCTTGGATTCAGGCAGAGTTGCCAGTCTTCTTGATTTATAGGCTTTGTGATGTAGCTTGTGAGCTAACGCATAGGTACAAACGTATTACTGATTTGTGCACGGTGAAATCATTGATTATACTGATGTTTTCTGCTCGATAGAACGGAAATGGACGATTACGACGAAGTAGCGCTCTACCCTACTACAATAGATCAAATCATTGGAAATTTGTAGGAGTAATGAACGCTTCGTTCCCCTAAGGGGCTTGTTGGAAGATTTATGTCAATATCTGAATGATTCCTGGAGATTCTAACTTTTCCCCAGAGGAAACGCTTTTTGATTCATGTCGGTCAATCTGCCGGAACGATTCTTCAGAAAAAGTAATACCTAATACATGGTTAAAGTTTCTAAAGTTTCAAAAACCAGGTTTCAAAATTTAGTGATATTGTAAAAAAAATTGCCCATGTGAGATCCAACAATTCAAATGTTTTCTTTTAGTCGATCTGGAATGCAAAAGCGCTTTCTTCCACCTTTTTATCCGCCTCCAAAACACCAACCATCTTCATCGAGTGACTAACCTTATTGTCAAGCATCCCTCCTATTTCTTCACCTGCTAACTTTGCTTCGTCCTCTTTATAATCCCCCGAGTGGATCCTTGCCGGTATTGCAAAGAAAACATTTGTTCTCCAGTTCTTCGGAACATATCTTTGAGCCTGCCAAGAAATCTCTCTAGGGTGCTCTGCTTACATCAACAGATCGAGACTAGTGGTAGAAGATCCACATGCATGTAGCCGTCAGCCTTTCCGTTCCTATAATGAAATTTGCATCTCTCCAGACTATAATGTAACGTCTTCATATCTTTGTCAGTATTGAACTAAATGCCATTTGGTTTACCATTTCTATTTGTGGACTGTTTGGATCTGATTTAGGCGTAGTTCTAACAAAGCCAAGAGCACTGTCGAGAACAATCATAGTTTAGTAGCTAAATATCTGAGATTTTACGAAATTTACGTTTGAGAAGGCTACACATATCTGGTGGAGAATTCTTAACCCTTTCCAGAAGGTTTTTCGTTGTTTTGAGATGCAAAATGTGTTTTTGAAAAAGAATTCAGAATACATATAGATAATAATGATAATAATGAGCACACATAGAGGCTTAAATAAGTACCGACTAATTACCGATAGATTGACCAAATAGGAGACAGATCGAAAAGTTGTGGATCACCTGTGCTACCATGGGAAGGAGAGGTTTAAGATGGTGACCGGGAAAACCATCAGACACTTATGGTATCATGAATGTTAATCCAACTCATTCCCCCCTCAATTTTAGGACTCGAATCAACGAGCTCCGGAATTTGCAATATTTACCCCGACTGTCGGAGGCCCGAGAAACCATGATCGATGACCGCACCAAAGCGCACGCCGATCACGTCGGACACGGTCACGATCGGATGACTACTGCTGCTGTTGGTAAGTTTTCATCCAGCTGCTCCGGAATCAGTTTTGCGACCGGAAACTGATGGCTAATCTTGTTTGTTCTTGCAGGTGTCCTCAAGGCTGTCCGTTGTGGCATACCGGACGAGTTGAATCGTATCACCAAGGATGTGGTCGCATTCGATGCCCACTGTTTCCCGCATTTGGTGGAAAAATTGCAGCTGGATTTGCATGAGCCACCGATTTCGCAGTGCGTCCAGTGGGTGGAAGATGCCAAGCTGAACCAGCTCCGGCGCGAGGGTATCAAGTACTCGCGGATATCGCTGTACGATAATGATATCTACTTCTTGCCGAGAAACATCATCCATCAGTTCCGTACGGTGACGGCGGTGACCAGTATAGCGTGGCATCTACGACTGAAGCGGTACTATCCGGACCAGGAATTCGTCCAGGAAATCGCCAATGGGTACGAGGTTGATCCACCGCATTACAAGGAGAAGCAAACGATCTTGCCGCATCCAATTTCGGCGGAAGATACTAAGAAGAGCACTCCGGTCAAGCGAACGCATGATGGCAGACCAAAGAAATCGGAGAAGAAGGATTTGAGTGCAATCCCACCAGCGGCGATGGTACCGGCGGAAGCTTCGACTGCGACGGCGGCTCCGGCAGCATCGACGGCGGTGGTGGCTACGGTTCCGGAAGTTGCGATGCCAGTGGTGAAAGAAGACAAACCTGAGATTATCGCGATAGATGTTGAGAAGCAGGCCATTGAAGCTAAGATCGATATGAGGAAGCTGGTGAGGGATGACAAACCATTGAAAGTTCAGAAGAAGAGCAGCTCAAGCCATAAGCACTCATCGTCGTCGTCTACGTCTTCTCATAAGCATCACAGCAGCAGCGTGGGAAGCAGCAGCAGCAAGAAGGACAAGCATCGTTCCAATGGCGAACGAGATAAGGACAAAGATAAGGAGAAGCACCGTGAAAGGGATAAGGATCGGGAGAGGGAACGGGACAGGGATAAGGATCGACATCGTCACCATAAGTATCATTCCTCTTCGGGTAAGTTGTCCAGTTCTTCTTCGAAGCATCAGTCGAGTGAGGAGCGGAAACGGAAGTTGTCTTCATCGTCGTCGGAACGACATCCGCACAGTGCTAGCAGCAGTCGGCGTGAATCGACTTCAAGTGTGACGAAAGAGAAGGAGCATGCAGTCGGTCTGGTACCGTCAGTTCCACCCATGGCAGCTGAGATCGAAATCGATAACAACGTTGAGGTTTCCAGCCATGGCCAAGTCATCTTGATTGATTCAACGCTCACGGAAGCACCAGCACTCAATAGCAATTACGAGTCTGTGATAACTTGCAACGACGAGTCCAAGCTTACCGTCGCAATGGAAACGACCATCTCGGCTGAAGGTGATGAGATCAGCACCGAACCGTTGCTACTTTTGAAATCGGAAGAGGAAATCATCACCACCACCATCGTGGACGACGACCAGCACCTAAATGCGGTTCCCGTCGAGCAGCACTGCGTATCGATCTCCCATTCTTCCTCTCCATTGGAAGTCCAGAATCATCCTCCGCCTCCTCCACCACCTCCACCGCCACCACCACCCGCCGAAGTAGCCCCACCGTTGCCGCCATTACCACCCGCACCGCCGGCTCCCGAAACCCCTACAAAAGCAACGTACAACCACCACAGCAGCGTCGAACACCATTCAGCAACGCCAAAGTTGAAGAAAAGTATTCATGTATCAGTAGCAAGCACCAATCACTCTAGTAGCAGCAGTGCTCATCACTCGAAACAATTGTCATCATCTGGTTCTTCGTCGGCGCGAACAGTCAGCACAACACCTTCCAAAAAGTCCAGTGACCTGCTAAGTTCCATCATGGCAAGTATGGAGAGCACGCCGAATCGTAATGCAAGCAATTTCTAAGCCCTCCCCTGTGCGACGTCTCGTTCGTCTGAAAGCTTACGTTTCGTCCCTTTTGCTAAGTTCTATTTCGATATTCAGTGTTCCGTGTTTGACGTCCCACAAACTCGTAACCTTCAATTTCTGTATACAGTGTATCGTTGTCCTGCTAGGAGAAAAGTTGTGCTATACATCACTTCAAAGTGTGTAATATGATAATGTTTAGGTAATCAGTTAAGTTAAAATTGGGCACGAATTTTATCAATTTTTAGACACTCTTTCAATGTTTGCGTGACAGTTAGCCATACCATTTGGATAAATCTATCACGCCAACGTTCAAAGTGCAACATTGTTTATAACATTTGTAGATATCTGTAAATACATTGGATGTTATGCACCAACTGCACAGCTTTTCTACCCGTGCGGATACTGAAAGTACACATACAAAAATCACACACTGCCACCTACCTTCAAATGGATATACACGCAAAAAAAATCTAGTAAGCAAATAAGGAAAACAAAAGTTCGGAAAACGTGCTCTCATCTCTTAATCATTAACGATCTCCCATTTTTTTTAGGAACAAAGCAGCGAAAGATACGCGCTTTTAAATGCTTTGGCAACCTTTCCCTTGAGAAAGTTATAACTAAATGTGTAGGAATATGAGCCTAACGGACTCGTGTCACACATTTACACGTAACACACACACACACACATACATAAACACGCATTGTTGCACTTTTAGTGAGCTAGAAAAAGAAACAGAAAAAAAATTAAACTCACAAAACAAATGTATGAAGCAAATAAAATACAACATATTTTATCTCTTCTTCGAAATGAAAAAAAAAAATCAACACAACTAAGAAGCAGAGATTGCTAAAATTAATGTTAAGACAAAAAAATATTATAGTGGATAAGTCCAAACAAAAACATACATATAAAGTGAATAAGTAGACTTTAAATCCAGGAGCATACAATTCAAAACAACTGACTACGGAGAATGTTACTTTCACCCCAAACATATTGACGATCTGTTGAGCCGGCTAATTAATTTAACTAACGCCCCTTTTTATTCCCCTGAGTAAAATAAAACAAGCAAGAAGGTTTGGAGCGGCAAACACAAACATCTTGATATCTCTACGTATAAATAGCAGTTACGATGCTTGATAGTTATTAACCCCCTTTCCGGCGATCATTGTCGGTCGCGGTAATCCGTAAGCTTTTGGTAAGTTAAATTATTTTTTAAATATACATAGATTTATATATAGGTATATATATTAAACCTAGATGCTGTTGATCTACAATAACTTATTCGATACGATATTTTTTTTTTTGGTCTCAAGTCCCCCGTTTAAGTCCTTTTTAATATTTCACACAAACACATACACGCCCTCGTGCTAGTTACGCTGGTTTGTGTCAGCTGCGTAATCTCGTCGATTGGCTTTAGTTTCCTGAGAATGTCTTGAAATTCTAATCGGCGACTGCATCCTAATTTTGCTGAATCCCGTCTCTTGAGTCGCTCTACTGTTCACAATGTTTATTTCAATGAAAATTATTTATCCCCAGCAAGCCCCCACGTAGAGATTAGCCTATCGCGTCGTATGTATATTTTATTATATATAGAATGAGTAAGAATTTATCTCTATCCACAATCGATTACACACACACATCTGTATATTTTAAGAGAGTAAATAAAAAACAATAAAATACTGTTTACGGTATTTAATGGTGTAAGACAAAAATTTAAATTACGTTTTTCATTTGGGCTTCTGGTGAGGCTTTTACGTGGAAAGAAAATCCCTTGCTGTGCATCTTCTAAATGTGTATACGTTAATTTTGTGGTTATCTTAAATGTTTTTTTTTTTTAATGTAAGCAGTTCCAGTATTATTTTCTCTGCGGAGGCTCCGTCGTATCAATCAGTCTCACCTCCACAGGTATTCGTTACCCACTCAGTTCTGTCATCAAGTACTCAGTTTCGGCGGCTTGTGTTTGGGCCGAGGAAATTAAGTAGAGGATCCTCCCGACACAGTCCTTACTCGGGCACGAGAACCAGTATTATACCCAAGGTAGGGATACATAACAGCACATAACATATGTGTAAGTGATAACAAGGAGGTGGAGGTGACTGTCAAAAACGAACAATCGTCGCCTAGTTCGCATAACTGGTTCCAAACGACAACAAGCAACGATGGTTTGTTGATGTTTGAAGTCAAATTCACATATGGAAAATCCATGAGTGTAAGCAGGTGAGGCCCAGTGAATTTGTCGTCTCTTTCGTTCTCCGTCTCTGTTGAAATGGGTGACAGGGTTTGACGTCACACTCTTTCAACCATTTAAACAGCGGGAGAACGAAAGAGACGACAAATTCAATGGGCTTTACCTATTTACATCAGGGGTGATGCACATAATATGTCACGTTCTAAGGGGGAGGGGGGGGGGGTTATGATTTTGTGACACACAGTGCATTAGGTATAGGAAACACTAAAGAACCTAAATTTATAAAGAGACGACATGTCAAAATTGGAACAATCGATTGTCTGTCAAAGTCATAGGAAAAGTCATTCCAATCGAGCAGAAGACCTGTCAAATGGATAAGATGTCGTCTCTTTATAAATTCAGGCTTTTTAGGAAAAACGTCACGAGGGGAGGGGGGTAATTTTTCCTCAACTTAGCGTGACATAATAAATGGATCGCCCCTGATAAGAGTCCCGCCAAGAGAAAATGTTGCGAACAATCAGCACTGTTTGTGATTTATTTTTCGTCAGAGTAAACGGCAACCATATTTTTTGCGTTAGCATCGGATGACTTTCATTCAGAAGTGAAAAATTTCATGTCGATAACGGAGCTTCTCGGAGATGAAAATAATTATAGAACATCCCTAATAAAAAATAACCATAAACGAACGATAACCCAAATCATTGAACTATTCCACAAATGGTTTGGATAATACCCAGAACACGTCGTTAAGCAAATTAACCATACAATTTTTATTAGGGATGAGAAATGTTCAAACAAGTGCTTGGTATAATTTATAAATACCACAATGTACTAATTAAAGCAAAGTCATGTTTTTCATCTAAAACTACTAAAATATTGTCAGTAATGAATGCAATACTTGAAGTTCACTTGGCTGTGGGAACAATAATGTTTATTTATTTTGCTTGTTTTGTACCCCGATTGACAGTTCAATTGGTACTCCTGGATACCATAGAGGTAACTCTAAGACCACTGGGTCCCGAAGAAAATCATTATTATTTTTGGCTCACTCAGTACCAGAACAACGGTCCCAAGCAGTCCCAAGCTATTTCACTCACCCCTGCATGTTCTCCATGAATCCACACACCCCTGATGTTATCTGTCAAACTTTCATAGCAAATCAAAACAAACATAGTGTAGTAATAGAATTTCAACTAGAATAGGGTACGTTAATCGTTTGCTTGGGACCAATAGGCTACTAAAGTGGTGAGCCAATTTAAAATCGTTAGTTTCGTATTCATTGTTGGTAACTCTAAGACCACTGGGTCCCAAAGAAAATCATTATTATTTTTGGCTCACTCAGTACCAGAACAACGGTCCCAAGCAGTCCCAAGCTATTTCACTCACCCCTGCATGTTCTGCATGAATCCACACACCCCTGATGTTATCTGTCAAACTTTCACAGCGAATCAAAACAAACATAGTGTAGTAATAGAATTTCAACTAGAATAGGGTACGTTAATCGTTTGCTTGGAACCAATAGGCTACTAAAGTGGTGAGCCAATTTAAAATCGTTAGTTTCGTATTGATTGTTGGCTGTACTTGCTTCAAATTTCACTTCGTTTTGAACTGCATACCAGCAGAGGTATACTAGGCTTTACAAAGTAATTGGAGTAGATCTTTGTGCTGGGATTCGAACTGAAATTTTCAATTGGCCGCAGTTGAGAAACATTAGGAGGGTTGAACCATAGAGGTAACTCTAAGACCGCTGGGTCCTGAAGAAAATCATTTTTATTTTTGGCTCACTCAGTACCAGAACAACGGTCCCAAGCAGTCCCAAGCTATTTCACTCACCCCTGCATGTTCTGCATGAATCCACACACCCCTGATGTTATCTGTCAAACTTTCATAGCGAATCAAAACAAACATAGTGTAGTAATAGAATTTCAACTAGAATAGGGTACGTTAATCGTTTGCTTGGAACCAATAGGCTACTAAAGTGGTGAGCCAATTTAAAATCGTTAGTTTCGTATTGATTGTTGGCTGTACTTGCTTCAAATTTCACTTCGTTTTGAACTGCATACCAGCAGAGGTATACTAGGCTTTACAAAGTAATTGGGGTAGATCTTTGTGCTGGGATTCGAACTGAAATTTTCAATTGGCCGCAGTTGAGAAACATTAGGAGGGTTGAACCATAGAGGTAACTCTAAGACCGCTGGGTCCTGAAGAAAATCATTTTTATTTTTGGCTCACTCAGTACCAGAACAACGGTCCCAAGCAGTCCCAAGCTATTTCACTCACCCCTGCATGTTCTCCATGAATCCACACACCCCTGATGTTATCTGTCAAACTTTCATAGCAAATCAAAACAAACATATTGTAGTAATAGAATTTCAACTAGAATAGGGTACGTTAATCGTTTGCTTGGGACCAATAGGCTACTAAAGTGGTGAGCCAATTTAAAATCGTTAGTTTCGTATTGATTGTTGGTTGAACCCTAGTCATTACATCGATAAGCGCTCGTTTTCATTTATCGTCCTGTTAGCAAAATTCTTGCAAATGGAACGGTACAAGGTCAGCTCAAAACACTGAATAATTTATGCATGATACTTCTATATAAAACGATGTACTTATTTTGCTGCTTCTCTGAACTTCATGCACTTAATTCCAAATTTACGCGGTCGTATTTTTCCTCCTACGAAACCTAATGAAATCAAAGTTTGAAGCAATTGGTTCCAAAAAAATTGAACCTATGAAAAAAATGGTACATTTTTTTTTCTTATGAATTAACCACATAGGAAAAAATATCCGCACAAACCTAGAGTTAGATGAAATGAACACGTGGAGTTTCCCCACTGTTTTTGTCATAATTACAGAAAATCAATCGAGTTCCACATATGTTATGTGACTTAAGGCAGCTATTGTAAAACGGTCCACACTCGGGTCTACACTGATTGACGACAAACAAATAAATAAATGCAGGAACTGTAAATAAAGTGATTTGAAAATTCAGAAATCTCTCTATTACTCTACTCTAGTACTCTTGCCCATTATGGCACACTTGCCACTAGTTCCACTATAGTGTATACTTTTCTTTGATTTCTCTGCGGCCTCCAGGGTCATCACGTCTAGAGTCGGTGTATAATGAGTCACGCCAAGAGTGAAGCCAAGTCTACCTATTGAACTGTCAAACCGGCTACCTATCGAGCAAAGTAAACAAACATTACGATGCTCTGGAAGGTCCACGAAAGGTATTGCAATAAAATATAAAATATAATTGAAGAAATGATCATAAATACGCAGTGAGCATTAACATGTCATGGGATACGTTTAGTAATGACCAGTAATGAGAATTTCAACTATTTTTTGTCAATGATATAATGATTTACTACAGCCGCTATTTTTATTTATGGCTAGAATTCATTTGAAGTTGATGTAGAAGTCCTCTGTTGCCAAGTGAAAAGAAACGGAATCTTTCGAAAACCGTGATGCGAGTTTAGCTGTTTTTCTCTTGGCGTGACTCATTATACACCGACTCTAGTCTTAACAAATCCAAAAACTGTAATACCTTGTACAGACATACAAAGTTCACTGTTGTACTACCGTTGTACCATAGAGGTAACTCTAAGACCACTGGGTCCCGAAGAAAATCATTATTATTTTTGGCTCACTCAGTACCAGAACAACGGTCCCAAGCAGTCCCAAGCTATTTCACTCACCCCTGCATGTTCTGCATGAATCCACACACCCCTGATGTTATCTGTCAAACTTTCATAGCGAATCAAAACAAACATAGTGTAGTAATAGAATTTCAACTAGAATAGGGTACGTTAATCGTTTGCTTGGGACCAATAGGCTACTAAAGTGGTGAGCCAATTTAAAATCGTTAGTTTCGTATTGATTGTTGGTTGTACTGCTTTAAGCTAGTACCACAAATTGTACGTTTTGAGGTACTTGATTAAAGGAGTACAACGGTACTAACATAGAGGTAACTCTAAGACCACTGGGTCCCGAAGAAAATCATTATTATTTTTGGCTCACTCAGTACCAGAACAACGGTCCCAAGCAGTCCCAAGCTATTTCACTCACCCCTGCATGTTCTGCATGAATCCACACACCCCTGATGTTATCTGTCAAACTTTCATAGCGAATCAAAACAAACATAGTGTAGTAATAGAATTTCAACTAGAATAGGGTACGTTAATCGTTTGCTTGGGACCAATAGGCTACTAAAGTGGTGAGCCAATTTAAAATCGTTAGTTTCGTATTGATTGTTGGTACTAATTTGTATGTCTGTCTGTGGTATAATTTTGAATGGCCGTGGTACAAATTCACTGGGGTGTAAAATGCGATGAAAAAATGTTGTGTTCTAATCACACCACACCCCTGCCAACTGAGATTTGACAGCAGCTGTCTTGTTCTTTGTGTTGTTAAAAACTCATCGCCCGACCCGACGTCCGTGCGTCAGTCGGTGTTTGTTTGTTTTTTGTACGTGCGGTTGATGTGTCTGTGCGCTGCCTGCACGATCATTATCTTTTTGTGTAGTCGTCT